CCTCCACTGGAGCGAGGGGGAGGATGAACTGCTGTTGGTCATGCTCTAGAGTTGGGGTGTAGTGGGAACAGACAACCTATGTTACCTTCTCGGGCTGTCCCTGGGCAGGGATTGGGGTCTCCCCTGTGGTGCTTGGGAGCTCCCTTCACTCTCTGTCCCTGGCAGGTGCTGTGCATTGATGAGGCCACAGCCAGCGTGGATCAGAAGACAGACCAGCTGCTGCAGCAGACCATCCGCCAGCGCTTTGCTGACAAAACCGTTTTGACGATTGCTCACAGGTACAGAGGAAGCAGCTCTCTGTGCCTAAATTCATCCTACCACTCGCAGGGAGTGGTGGCTGTGCCTGCCATTCCTGGACCTTGAGCTGAGCAGGGAGGTCTCTCTGATGAGGCTTTTCAAGTGCAAAAGGCTGGACCTTGCCTGTTTGCCTTTTCTGCTTTATTAGTCCCTGAGTGCTGGGAACAACTGGATGTGAAAACGTTGTACCCAGAAAGTGGGGGACAGCAAAGGGCAAAACACCGCATCGTGTGGCAGATGGCTCTTCCTGGGCACTGCCTACTGGGACCGGGGGAGTGAATCTGGGCCTTGTGGTTCTGCCAAATTAGTGCAAGGAGCAATGGAGAACTGTCCTACAGAAAGGAGCAGCGTGGAGACCCGGGAGGAGCAGGTGTGTCTGGCTCAGTAGATGGCACTGCAGGACAGCCGGCAGCGAAGGGCTGCAGCCAGCTCCTGGCCAGGGGAAGCAGAACACTGAGTAGTTCTGTTTTCCAAAACCCTGAGTTTTGGTCCCAGCCTGCACTGCCGGCAAGCTAGACACTGCCTAGGCAGGACAGGGCAGCAGTGGTTGCCCCACAGCTGAGAGATTTAGTGTAAGAGTAGGGGCAGTAGATGGGTACAGGAGGAGGGCAAAACATGAATACCTTGGCTACTGAGAAGGGACGGGTTAGCATTAGGCAGTGCTCCCACTCTTGCCAAGTGGAGGAGAATTCAGAGGAGGGTTGTGAAGTTGTATGGAGGGTGTTTTCAAAACACAAAGGTTACCACAAAAATAAAAATCAAATGAGCAGGTGGTAGGGGCTGATGTCCTGCTGCACAGAAGTGGGAGTGATGGATGACAGGCAGGGTGGGCTGGGCCTGGCAAGTGAATCCAGTGGGTCTTGTTAAATACATCAGATAGGAGCGAGGCAGGAGGGGTGTGAAGGGAACGTGGTTCCTACGCTAGGGATATTATGCATAAATAGAGTAGAAAGGTAAGGGCACCGTGGGCTGAGGTGTGTGTTTGGGTTGGGTGGAGGGAGGCCACTTCTGATGGAGGGGTAATTAGAGAGGAGAACCAGCAGAGGAAGGAGTGGCAAAAGGCAAGGCAGCAAGACTGGGTTGAAGATGGCCCCAGCCCCTCTTCCACTGGCCTGAAGGGAGATGGGAGAGAGCAGTAAGGAGGGGGAGAGGTGGTGATGGGGTTGTTTTGTACCCGTGTTTCTTCCATGCCATGCAGCTTCAGGTGAACCATTAATTGGATGGGTGAAATCTAGGACAGGAAGTGACTCAGTACTCGTCCCTTGCCCGTCCAGGTTACTTTCAGTGCTGCAGCCTGGTGCTCTTTTGGGGATGAATGTATAACCGGAGTCCTGAACTCCATAACACTTTTTACCTGCTCAAATCTGTGCGGTGTCTGCCCTGTGACTTGCAGCTTTGTAGGGCTATAGTTTCGCACTGAACAGTGCTCTGCTCCTCTGTCTTCCCTCCCCAGGGCCACAGGTTGCTGCCCTGCTAGCAGTCTGGGCAGAACTGGGCTCATACGTGTGCTATGGGTGCTGTGGTTGGCAGCCTGGTAACTAGAAATCCACGGGTGGTGGCAGCGTAAGCAAAGATGCCAGACTGCTGGGGAACGGCAGCAGATGCACAAGTCCATTTCTGCTGCCCTCAGGAGGTGGCAGGTGAGGAAATGTAGGGGCAAACAGAAGCAACTCAATAACTCTCCTGTGGGAATGGAGATATCTTGTGCAACTGCAGACTCAGGCATGCCCTGAGCTCTCCCTCCACAGAGCTTCCCTCTGCGCTCCTGGTGCCCTGCCATGCCCAGCAACTGGAAGGCATTGCTGTGCTCTCCTAAGAGGTGGTGTGTTTCAGCAGTGTGCAGAGGCTCTCTGGGGAGCTGGACTGCAGTGTGCTCCCGAGTGCACAGGGAGATGCTCTGGAAGTCCTGATGTTGGGCATGTCTTGGGCCATCCCTTGGCAGCAGGGAAGCAGTATGCAGGGTTTGTCCCAAGATCCACTAACGTGTGTCCTGGCATTTGCTGTCCACAGGCTGAACACCATCTTGGACTCAGACCGTGTGCTGGTGATGCAAGCTGGGAGAGTGGCAGAGCTGGATTCACCCACCCACCTAAGCCAGAAAGATGGCTCCTTGTTCCAGCACCTCCTGCACAGCGGGCAGCAGTGACCTCCCTCCTGGCTCTGTGCCTGGCTTTCCTCTCACCTTAGCCACCAGCCCTGTCCCTGCAGGGCCAGGAGCTGCTGAGGTGAGGGAAGGGGTTATTTCTGCCTGCAGGCAGCGATTGTGTGTCCTCAGGGATGGGAGCATGGCACTGCAGCCTTTCCTTTAGTATGGAAGATGGGACCTGGTGTTCAGGGCTATGGAAGCCTGGCTGGTGGGATACTGCTCCCTTCCAAGGCTCCCCTTTGAGATTACAGAGGGATTTTGTGCTCACTGAAGAATTAGTGACTCCTAGTCTGAGAGTTAGTCTCACATGTAAAATTTAAAATAAAGTGGAAACATCCTTGTGAAGCTCTGTTATTCGGGTCCCTGTCCCCTTTTCCCCCCAGACACAGACTTCCTTGTGAGATACAGGAGTAGTGCCCTCCCTGCACAAAGACAACCCTACCTGCCCCCTACTACTTTAAGAGAGCACTGACCTTCCCAAGCCCAGTAGGTTGCACCCAAGGACCTTGCTACTTTTCCTCCAGTTTACAGTGGAGAAGGCCTTACCCTGAAGGGCCAGAATGTGATTACATTAAAGGCTTCTAAGGCTAGTTTATTTCAAGACCACATTTCCAAGGGAAACTCCCTATCCCTCCTGCCCTGCTCCCAGCTGCACAAACCCACAGCTGCTTACAGTTTTAGGATCAGATTGCTCTTCCCATCAGCACCGTTGGACTCAGTCTTGGGTTTTCCCTTTCTCAACACTCTAAGGCAACGCCTGGCAGGTACACACCTTTGCTACGCTGTCCTGAGGCAGGTCCCGTTCCTTCCCCTGAGGCTGTGGGAGCCATCTCCACCCCTCCAGTCAGAGCACGGGGCAGGACAACTCCTGTGCCACAATCTGGTTTTGCATTCTTGAAGGAAGTGATGGAGATACTCATCCAGAACAAGCAGCTGAGCAACCTGATCTAATTGGATCTGCTGAGAACAGGAGGTTGGTGTCTAGAGGGCCCTTGCAACCTAAATTATTTTATGATTCTCTGATATGCTGTTTCTGGGCTTGTATTTGTTTTATTTGATAAAGGTACATCATCCATCCATGTATTAAAAAAATAATCTTTCTGATGAAGCCCCAGTCCCCTCTCCCAGGTCTCCTTCCTGGCTGAGCGCTCACTTCTCTGCTCTCCACACCATCTTGAACTCAGCTCTGCAACCCTACAGGCCAGTAGTAGGGTTTCGGTCGTGGTTTTTTTTACCCCGCTGCTTAGCTCTCTGTGCCCATGCGGAGGCACAGAAAACCCCGGCCCTGGCAGAGAGACACTGATTGCTGCACACCGGACCAGCACAAGTGGGAGCAGACCCAGTACAAAGGCTAAGTGACCTGGCCATCTACTGCCTCTTAGCTGTGCTTTAGCAATGGTGGAGAAGGCAGTATCGTATCTGCTTCCTATGATCATCCCAGGCTCGGCAGCCTGTCCTCACATCCACTGTGGGGAGCTTAGCCTTTGTTGTATCAAGAAACGCTACAATGGCTGATTTGAGGTTAGTGCCAGCTGCCTGCCTCAGAGTGACTGGGAGAGGAAAGGCGGATCTGGATCTTGTATTGCTCCTGAACCAGCCACAGCGCATCTCCAGCCTTGTCCATCTCCAGTTTCACCTGCGAGGGCACGTGAGGAGGACCAGCTGAGGTTCAGAGGACCCCAGAGGGGAGCCGGCCACGCTCCTCTTTGTCAGTAAATGGTGAGGCAGAAGGGCATGCGGAGAGGGGAAGGAGCTTGGTCGTTTGTGGCCAGACCAGAAAGGACGGCTTGGTAACTGGGGGGGGAGAAGACCCCTGGATCATCAGGAGGAAAGTACAGAATGTGTTTGTAACCCCAAGTCTGACAGCAAGAGGAGAAGGCATCACCCAGGGCAGAAGAAGGGCACAAGGAGACCCCAAATGATCTCCAGAGTCTCTTTGAACTGGCTCACAGAACCACAAGGCCAGGGAGCAAGGATGTTTACTCGCTCCCTAGGGACATGGCATCTGAAACGACAGCCTTCAGAAACAGCCGGGAGCCACCCCATCCAGTATTGGGGCAGGGAGGCCTGTGCAGCCACGACCGTCCCAAAGGCCCCAAAAGAAACATCCCAACACCAGCGGAAACGAGGACAAAGCCCCTTCCAGTAGTCACAGAGAGGAGTTACAAAGGGCTTGGCAGAATTTGGGCTTGCAAGAAGGCCGTGCACTCCTCAGCGCTACCCGTCCTGTTTCTGAAAGCTCACATCAGATGATACCGGCAGTGCATGGCGTGGGCTGCCGCAAGCAGCACGTTGCCGCTCCCCTGCAGGGCTGGCCCAACACAGCCCTGCTTTCAGATGCCTGTGGGTGCCGGCTGTGCCGGCCAGGCAGGAGACAGCTCAGACCCAGGCGGGGCCATCACACCAATGCTCAACACCCAGGGGTTTTGTTGATGCGTTCACTGCCCTGGGAGCCCTTCCCTGCTGCCCGGCTTCTGCCAGCGTGGCTCCCCAGGGTGCAGTTCGAGGGTTTGCCAGCGCGACGCCCTGCCAGGGCCTGGCTCAGAGTCCTCGCAGCTCACAGCTCCGTTGTCTTCCTGGGCTCGATCAGGACGGTGTTGAGCATGCCCACCTGACACTCCTGGTCCTGGAGCTTCCCTGCAGCCTGAGAAGGGCTTTGGCACCAGTTCGACCTCTGACGGCCCCTCTGCCAGTTCCTCAGCATTAGCAGGACGGTGATGAGGACCAGCACTGCTGTCAGTACCCCGAACACCAGCACTGTCACTAGCTGGGCTTCGCTCAGCCCCGAGTCCCTTTGGGTCACCACCTCCTTCACAGAGATTTTCAACAACCCTCCCCCCAGCTCCTTCTCGCTGTGGTTGGCCACGCGCCGCCCTGTGACCGCGGTCCTGACAGGCTCCGGCTGCGTCACCCCTGGCATCTCGCTGGTGGTGCTTTTCACACCCCCGCCGTTCTCATGGTTCGCAGGGTGATACGGGGGAGCCCAGGTGGGCTCAGGGACGGAGATCTCACAGGTTTTGCCAGTGAAACGGTCGGGACACAGGCAGTCATAGTCATTGATGCGGTCGTAGCACTTTGCCCCGTTTTTGCATGGCTGGCTGGCGCAGTCATTGATGTTGATGGTGCAGAAACGCCCTTCGAAGCCCACCTGGCACTGGCAGGAGAAGCGGTTGATCCCGTCGTGACAGGTGGCACCATTGGCACAGGGACGCATCAGGCAGTCGTCCACGTCGTTCTCACAGAGAGTCCCCACAAAGCCAGCGAGGCACCGGCAGGTGAAGTTGCTGGCAAAGCCATTTTCGTCTTGACACTGACCCCCATTCTTGCACGGAGACCTGCGTGGAGAGAGCAAGGATGGGTCATGGCCCTGGAGAGCAAGCAGCTTCCCCCACCCCAGGGAGGTAACCACACACAGCTGCTCATGTGGCCAGTGGGTCTGGTACTGGCCCTCTCCATGGGGGCAGCTCTTTCAAGGAGAAGACCGGGCAAGAGTTTCCGCCTCCCCGATTGAGAGCCTGTGGGACCTCCTCAAAGGCTGTGGCTGTGCACAGGCCCACCACCCATTAGGGAGGTTCTTCAGCCAAATGATCTAAAAAGGAAACATGCCTTCCTGATGCTCCCCAAAGGCATGACGGGTATCAGCTCATCATGCCTACAGCAGCGAGGGACAGGAATCTGTTCAGATCACAGCAAAGACCTTGCCCTGGTGGGACTGCGGGGTGCACCAACTAAACCAAAGCCAAAGATGGTTTTGGCTTAACTCCTTAGCACATGGAAATCCACAGATAACAAGCCAAGCTGGGCCACTGCTTGGCAGTGCGTGACCCAAAGTTAATGCTGTCTGTAATCTCGCTGCCGTGTCTCACCCTGCCTTCTCACATGGCCCCGTCTTCATCTCACAGTCCTTCCCATGGAAGCCTTCTGGACACAGGCAGGAATATTCCCCATCTCGATCATAGATGCACTGAGCCCCATTCTGGCATGGGGACTGGTGTTCGCAGATGTGTATGTCTGAGGGGAAAGAAAAAGGTGGGAATTAGTGAGAAAAGAGGGGCAATGTAGCCAATTCAGTTTAAACACAGCCCAGGGATGGAGAAATGGCAGGAGCTTCTCCCTCCTCCCCTCCAATGGGCACCTGCAGCAATAGAAATGCAGTGCCTATGTGGTGCCTCCCAGCTACAGTCTGCAAAATGTGCAGGCTTAGGGGTGCAGATAAAGCAAATCATTCTGCAAATCTGCATGACGTGAAGATGCTGTGCATGCCACCTGGCCGGCCAGTGCAGACCCTGTGGCACAGAGGAGCCTCTGAGGCCGGAGGAGGGGAATCCACCAGCCACCTGCAAAAGGCAGGAAGCCCCAGGGGGAAGCAGGAGGTGCTGCCCAGAGCCCAGCCGTGGCATGGGAAAGGCAATGAGTTCATCTGTTCCATTTCCTGAGGCTGGCCAGTGCTGCAGCAGCTCTTGCTGTGCAGCCAGGGAGCAGGTGCCGGCAGCCTGACCTCTTCTGCAGGAAGGGGAGGGTCCCATCTCTGGCAGCCAGGCAACTTCCCATCTCCCAGGCAGCTCAAGCAGCATTACCCGGGTGGCTTCTGGCTATGCTGGCTCACCCGTTCATGCCGGGTGTGCTGGGCTTCTACCCTCAGCACTGGAGGCTGGGATGTCCAGCCTGTAACTCACCTTTGTCACAGAACTTGCCGGCCCAGCCGGTGTGACAGATGCACTGCCAAGGCTGGTGGCACGTCCCGTGGAGACAGCCTGGCATACGCACGCACTCCTCGCAGTACTCGCCCTCCCAGCCTGGATCGCACCTGCAGGAGGACAGGGCATGGCAGCGTGATAAAACCCAAGCAGGGGCTGCAGAAAAGCTGGCTGCTTGCCATGCAGGGTTCCTCTGCAGATACAGATACGGTGGCACTGGGAAACCCTCCCAAAGCCTGCCATGAACCTGCTGGCTTCCTCCTCCAGAGGAGGTCAGTACTGGCGTCTCATCCTTCTGAGGAAGCAAGCGGACAGAGCAGGAGCAGACTCACCCTCTGCAGCCAGGGAGGGTGAGGGGGCAGAAACAGAGCTCAGCAGCTTCGCTTTCAGTGCCTACGTCCCACTGCTCTCCTCCAGCCAACTGCTCTGTATACACCACCGCATTAGCTCAGCAATTCCTGAGCCTGCCTCATCACTGTCCTGGTTTCGGCTGGGATAGAGTTAATTTTCTTCCTAGTAGCAGGCATAGTACTGTGGTTTGGATTTAGGATGAGAAGAATGTTGATAACACACTAAATGTTTTAGTTGTTGCTAAGTACTGCTTATGTTAGTCAAGGACTTTTCAGCTTCCCATGCTCTGCCAGGCACACAAGAAACTGGGAGGGGGCACAGCCAGAACAGTTGATCCAAACTGACCAAAGGGCTATTCCATACAATATGACGTCATGCTCAGTATGTAAACTGGGGGGAGTTGGCCGGGGAGCAGCAATTGCTGCTCGGGAGCTGTCTGGGTATCGGTTGGCGGGTGGTGAGCAATTGCATTGTGCATCACTTGCTTTGTATATTATTATTGTTATTATCATTATTATATTGTTATTAATATCATTACTATTTTACTTTATTTCAATTATCAAACTGTTCTTATCTCAACCCAGGAGTGTTTCTCACTCTTACTCCTCCAATTCTCTCCCCCATCCCATCAGGGTAGGGGGAGTGAGCGAGCGGCTGCGTGGTGCTGAGTTGCTGGCTGGGGCTAAACCACGACAATCGCACAGCCAGCCTGATGGGCAGAGAACATCCCCATCCCTAACCCTGAAATCCCTGAGGAAAAGGGACAAGAGGCCCCTGAGGCCTGCGTGTTTCATTGCACCCCTTTGCATTATCCCATGTGCCATTTTTCATCTGAAGTGCATTGTAATCCAGCTGCGAAACCTTGCTTGCCATGGCTGGCACGTGGAATAGACTTATCAGCCAGCTCACAAGGGCAGTACGGTGGGAAAACATGCAGCACATAACAAGCCTTCTGGTCCCAGGAGAGCGAGGCTGTGGCGATGCCTAGGTAAAGCCAAGCTGCATTGCTCCAGTGGCTTCCCTCAGGCCTGCCAGCTCCAAGGGGGAAAGCAAGTGATAACAAGATGAGAGCTGA